TTTTTTTTTTTTTCAGTTGGAGTCTCACTCTGTCACTCTAGCTGGAGTATAGTGTGCGATCTTGGCTCACTGCAATCTCTGCCTCCTAGGTGCAAGCGATTCTTATGCCTCAGCCTCCTGAGCAGCTGGGAATACAGGTGTGTACACCATGCCTGGCTAATTTTTGTGCTTTTAGTAGAGATGGGGTTTCACCATGTTGGCCAGGCTGGTCTTAAACTCCTGGCTTCAGGTGATCTGCCCACCTTTGTTTGCTTCCCAAAGTGCTGGGATTACAGGTGTGAGCCACCATGCCCGGCCAGATTTTTGTATGTTTTGTAGAGATGGGGTTTTGCCATGTTGCTGAGGCTGGTCTTGAACCCCCAGACTCAGGTGATCCTCCCACTTCAGCCTCCCAAAGCCTCATGCTGGGCTTACAGCATGAGTCACCATGCCTGGCCAGATTCCGGGTCTAATTAAAAGTTGAGTGCTTACTGTGAGTCCCAAATTAGGATATAGAAATGGCATGGATATAGTAAGGAAGATACAAAATAATAGTAAATGTATGGTGTGTTATATAATTAGATGGTCAGGTGTAGACTCCATTATAGGATTCCAAAGAACAAAAGAGATCATTAGGAGTGTCACAAAAATAAGGGCATCTTTAAGGAGGTTTGTAGTAGTCTGTTCTCATGGTACTAATAAAGACATGCCCAAGGCTGGGTAATTTATAAAGGAAAAAGGTTTAATTGACTCACAGTTCCACATGCCTTGGGAGGGCTCACAATCATGGCAGAAGACGGATGAGAAGCAAAGTCGTGTCTTACATGGTGGCAGGCAAGAGAGCTTGTGCAGGAGAACTCCCATTTATAAAACCATCAAATCTGGTGAGACTTACTCACTACCTACCATGAGAACAGTATGGGGGAAGCCACCCTCATGATTCAGTTATCTCTACCCGGTCCCGCCCTTGACATATGGGGATTATTACAATTCCAGGTGAGATCTGGCTGGGGACACAGTGAAATCAAATCAAGATTTTACTTATGCTGGGCTCCAAAGAATGGTTAGATTAGTTCTGTCCAATAGAAATATAATGTGAACCACATGTGCAATTTTAATCTTTTTTAGTGACATGTTAAAAAGTAAAAAGAATCAGGTGAAATTAACTTTAGTAGTGCATTTTATTTAATTCCATGTATCTAATATATATTGTATCTGCAGGTAAACAATATAAAATGCTGTCAGCATTTTTTAGATCTTTTTTTTATACGAAGTTTTTGAAATTCAGTGTATATTATATACTTACAGCACATACCCATTCACACTAGCCATGTTTCAAGCGCTGATTAACCATGTCACTAGTGGCTGCACACTGGACAGAGCAAGGTTAGAATGTGGGAAAGTAGAGGGGAAGGCCAGTTCCAGCCAAGGGAAGGTGGAAGAACTGGTGGTGGAAGTAACGTGGCAGTAATACAGGAGGGTGAGGAAACCAGCCTGATTTTCACTGTGTGCAGTGGGGCAGTAGTGAGGTGTGGTGTTGGGCACTGAGGAGCCTTGCCCAGAGGATGTCCACAGTGTCCTGCATAGGTCAGGGGTAGGGGAGGGTCCTAGGGAAGGGGTGGAACAGCAGCCTGAAAAGCAGAAGCTGAGGCTGGCTGGGGGATCACAAGCCAGACTCAGGTCAAATCAAGCAACCTGGGTTTGGACCAGAGGGGAGAAAAGTCTCTCACAAATGATATGTATACAAACAGAGCAAAACATAAC